TTTCTACTACGGTTTTCTAAAGTTTTTTGTGAAAAAAGAGCACAAGGCAACCCAGGTTTGCAACAGAAATATATGCCCGCTCCATTATTTCTTGAGGAAAGAGTGAGGCAACAGGCTGTGAGGTATAAAACGTGTCAAAATTCCTTGGACACACACGCAAAATAATGGCAATTTTTTCTTGACCGTTTTCTTAAGAGCTGGATACTAAGCTTAACGGCGAAAATTTTTTGGCGCTGACACACCAACTCCAGCGCCACTGTCGGAATCAGCACAGTGTGTTGGCGCAATTGCGCCTCTTCAGGCTAAAGCTCATTTCCTTTATTGCTGCACGCTGCACCAAAGTGAATTAATACAAGGTGAGAAAAAACTCATGAGAAAAAACTCATGTGTACCCAAGTTCAAAACCCAAAAATGCAACAAACCCATCATTTGCACATTCAGAAGGACCGCGACGAATTCTAGCTGTGCTGCACATTTTACAAGAGACATTTCTGTTTCGGGTGTTCTTTGCTGGTTCTTTGCGACACCCGTCGTTGTCAGTGTTCCGGTGTTGAACTAAGGTGAATTAATACAAGGTGGTATCGGTTGGGCAAAAACAAGTCAAGTTCAAAACCCAAAAATACAACAAAGACATAATTTTCACATTCAGAAGGACCGCGGCTAATTTTAGCAACAACACCTTGTAAAAATTCGCCTTGTGCTGCACATTTTACAAGTGACACTTCGCTTTTGTGTGTTCTTTGCTGGTTCTTTGCGCCGCCCGGTGTTGTTAGTGTTCCGGTGTTGCTGGCGCCATTGCGTCACAGTGTTGTGAAAATCGGTATCGGCGCCAGTAACTCAGCTCTCAGTATCAGCGCATTGGCGCGGCGCCGCACTGTGTTACCCACGGCTAACTTGTATCGAATCGATTTGAGCAGGTGCCATATCTTGTCGACAATATTTGTTCTATTGAAAATAATTGCTTCGTTTTTATGAAAAATAATTTCTTTAAGCAATGACACCGCCAAAATCTAACTGCCCGTCTCCACAGGATAAAGTTTATATCATGATACATATGTTAGAATATAAATAGCCAGTGGAGACCGCTCATTGCTCTTCAAGGGCAATATATATCAGAGCTTTATATCTTGCCGTCTATTGCCGGCAATTTGGTAGTTTGACAGCTATATTTTCATTTGCACGAAAACTTCGTGTCGGCATCATTATTGATATTTTAATATAAAAGCAAAAATTTAGCTGTTTTCTGTCAAAATATTTGTTATTATGTACTTGGGTGTAAAACAATATATTTTTTTAAATTTTATAAGTGATTAAATCCGGCAAAAATGTGTTTCTTACAAATGCTTATATCAAGATATAAAAAGCTTACACAAATATTGCCACTGATATAACTTATATCTAGTGACCAAAATTACAGCTGGACAGCAATAAATTTTATCCTGTGGAGATGGCCAGTAAAGTGTGGGTATAATTTTACAAAGCTAGTGATACCACAATAAAGTGCAAGCAATGCATTGTAGCCGTAAAGTTTTGTGGGAACCTTTCAAAGGTTGAATTTTTTGGCTAAGTAATCGTATTACTTCTAGTGCTACTAATGAAGAAATATACATATCGATACCTCAACTGAAAACATATTGAAAATTTCGAACTCTCTGCCGAGATAGGTCGATCTGCCACTCAGGTGCCGCTCA